AAAAAAAAACATGTAGTTTAAACTTATTAGCCCGTATATGAACTTATCTGAAATTATTTCTCTTATAATAAATGAAGAAATTGATAATGATTAAACGTGAACGTCAATACATGAACTGTTAACAAACCAACCTAAAAAAAGTACCCGAACTCGATATGACTCGACCTGAAATCAACCCAAGACTCGGATTAACCCAATATTTGAGACCCAAACCTGAATATGACCCGACTTGATTATAACCCGCAAATTATTGACTTGAACCGAACCCGACTCGAACCCGAGAATGACTCTAACTCGCTTTAATCCGTTAAAACCCGAATTAACCCGACCTATTATTCACCCAACCCGAATGTAACCCAACTTGTTATTGACCCGACTTAAACCTGACCCAAACCCGAAAAGATGTATGACCCGGCATGACCTGACTCGAGTATGACCCGACCCACATAGGTTACGACATTAACCTGAATTGACCCGACCCGAACTGACCTAACCCATACTAACCCGACCTGTTTACCTGAATTGACAGCTCTAATAACACTCATTTTAGGACACCTATATGCACTGTTTTATACTTTTATTGACGATGTTTTAATTATTTATAATTATACTAGATTAATACTCATGCGATACACGATTTAAAATTAAAAAATCAAAGTTTTTCAATAAAATATTGGAAAAATTGTCAAAAATAATACGACCTTTCAGCGGTCCACCAATAATAAGTCAACCTTTTGATTATTTCTGAATAATACGACCTTTGGGGCTTATCCTCTATAACAAGTTATAACCGGTTAGTGACCTATTTAACAAGTTGTATAGGACACGTGCCATTATCTTATTCGTTAGAAATTTAATTTTTTTTTATTTTTATTTTAAATAAAAAAACTCCCTTCCCTTTCTCTTTCCCCTTCCCCCTTCCATAATTTCCGGCAGGAGTACCACCAAGCTGCACCCACCAACCGCCATTTTTTGCCCAGCTCAACTAAAAACCACCAATTTGGCCGCCTTCACATCACCGTCTGCCAGCCTTCATCACCACAAAAACGACATCCCTCCTTCCTCCAGCGTTGTTCGCTGCCACCAAACCCTTTCTTCACCTCCCACCTCCACTTTATCCCTCGCTTTTACTCCTTTGCCGATCTCCCATCTCTCTCTTATGGTGCCCAAACTCCTACTCTCTTCCCTGACAACTCTTTTTACATTACTTCCTTTAATTTCGATGACGATGTCGCCATTAATGGTGTCAAGCTCAACAACTCCCATGTCCTCGACGATGGTACGTTTCTTTGTCATCTTCCAAATCGATCTCACTGTGGCCGGCATCAGAAACGTCGATAGCCCACGCCGGCAGTCCTCCCCCATCCAGTAAAACTCCCACAACCCTCGATTCCAGCCACCTCCTCCCTTCCCTCACTTGAATTCATTTTTTCGATCCCAAATTTCGCAAAATCCCTAGGGTTTACAGTTGCACCAATTTGTAAAATTATGTCGCAAATTATCATCAAATGGCGGAGGAAGATGGCGAGGAGAGAGAAATTCCGGTGAAAGCGGATTCAATGGAGTCTCGTTGGAAGATGATGGAGATGATTCAGAATAAGGGAGGGGGTGGCTGGAATCAGGGGATGCGGTTAGGGGAGAGGGGAGTTTTACGTGATGGTGGAAGGGTTGCCGGCGTTTTCTGCGGGCGGGGGAACGGCGAGATGGTGCTCAGGAGTTTCTGGCGGAGGAAAGGGAGGGGATGTGGGTGTTTTCTGGTGGAGGTTGAGCTGATGGTGGTTTTTTTCATTTTTTATTTTTAAGAATTTTTTTTAAAATTATTAATTATTAATAATTGATAATTAAAGTTGTTATTAAGAGTTAATTACATTATTAAATTAATTTATTACCGGTTATTCAGGTTGTAGGTAAAATAACTTGTTTAAAGCGGACACCATTAAAAGGTCGTATTATTCAGAAATAATCAAAAGGTTGACTTATTTTTGGCGGACCGCTGAAAGGTCGTATTATTTTTGAAAATTTTTCCTAAAATATTTTGACCTATTTTGTTAATTGAGTTTTCATAAATTCTTATATGTGGCTCTTATCATTCCGTATATACGAGAACATTTAAATAAAAACTCAATAATTTCGTATATACGAGTACATTAAAAAGAAAAATTATGGACTTTAGATACGGAGTATATTTCCATTTTTGCAACTTCGTCGTCAAAATTAAAGATGCCCTATAGACTGAATTAAAATTAGGGGAATAATTAACTCAAATGAGAAACTATTTAATTTATTGACTTTTGAAAGTTTTAAATGTGAAGAGATTATATATCTACTTATCTACTTTTTTTTTAAACCATCTACTTATCTACTTCATTGGTGAAGAGATTATCTATTCTAATTTTAGGACCCGTGCCACGCACGGTAAGTTCAAAAACAATAACTTATTAATTTTTAAATATAAAAAAAAAAAAAAATTGCTATGTATATGTATCAAAAATCAAACATAAAAAATAAATTTTGATACCTATTCTAATTTGAGATATAAAACAACATCTAATACATAAAATTCATAAAAAAAAAATAAGATTAAATTATAATACATAAAATAAATAAGATAATAAAATAGAATTTTATTAAATAATACATAAGATCAATAAGATAATAAAATAGAATTTTTTTTATAGATAAAAAAATTGCTAACTATTAGAGGTTTTATCAAATTTTGCTTTTACATTTTTTTTACGAAGTATCTAAGCATTAAAAACCGAGGGAGCCCAGGTTAATCTCTTAGATTAACATTTTAATTTATCTCCTCTCACAACTTTATGCATTGATTTCTGCACCACTTTATTATTTCACTTTTATTATTTAAAAAAGGGATATTCTCAACGGTGACCCCCAACTTCTGCTACGCACCAACGGTAACCCCCTTTTTTTGGATTATACAAAATGACATTACTTATCTTTTTTCTCCTAATGATGACATTAATGATGGTGTTTTAACATAAATATCATAAATAAAGTTAACCATGGTTAACTTTTTCCCCCCAAAAGTTAGACAACAGGTTATAAAAACCCTTTATCCCTTAATTCCCCCAACTTCCTCCATTGTTGTCTTCTTCGTCATCCAATTTTACGCAGCCACCATGGGAAGAGCTCGAGCAATCAAGCTTTGCTACTGCGACTGTTCATTTAAGCGATTTCTAGATGTGCGTTTTTCTGACACACGCTCTAATCCAGACAGGCCCTACTACAAATGCAGTAGCTGTCACTTTTTTGCATGGGTTTCTGAAGAAAATATTGTGAGGATTGTTGATGAGGTCAATGATGAAGGTTATTTCGATGGCTTTGGCAAGTAGATGATATCGATGAAGATTACAATTGGATGTTTTTAATTTGATTTAATTAAGTGAATGAATTGGTAAACCCTAGAAAGATAATTTGGGGGAAATTAGTTGAAATTAGGGTTTCATGTAAGGGCAATTGGGATGTTTGTACTTAGTCCTTAACAATCTAAGTAGTTGAATAATGTACTGATCATCTGGATTAAATAAAAATCAGAACTTTGTTCAAATTCAATTTCTTTTGTTTTGTTGCTCTGTTATTCAACTGTATCAATGAACTATAATAAATCATGGCTGGACACAGTATAAACATAAAGGAACAATACTTGGAGATTAAAACTTAAGCAATTGTTCACAATCCAAATTGATAATTCCCAAAAAAAATCAGTTTCTAGTGCTATTTCCATAAGATGCCCTGTTCCCCCCAAAATACCCAAAATAAACTAATTCAAATACCCAAAAAAATCAGTTTTTAGTGCTATTTACTTATGCTAATTACAACCAACACATTCATCTACTGAGGCTGGGTTGAGAACCCAATTCCACTAAGCTTCCTCATTTTTGGAGCAGGCAGTGAATAAGACATGGGTCCTTTGCCTTTAGCCTTTGCAGAAGCTAAAGCAGTAGAGCCTTTATCCTTTGCAGCAGCAGAAGCAACAACAGCTTGCTTCTCTTTACCCTTTGTAGAGGAAAAAGCAGCAGCAACTTGTTTTGCAGTAGGGCCTCCTTTACATGTTGTTGAGTTGTGCCCATAGAATTGACAGTTGCTGCACTTAATGGTTTTGCTTCTCTTGCCCTTCCTTTCTTCATCTTCATCCCTTCTTCTCTCTTTACAAGGCCTGCCAACTCCTCTTTTCATGGCAGGAGGTTCAATTTTAGGCATGTCAAAGTCTGACCATTGATCACTGTTAGGGATAGAGTTGATTCCACCAGCATATGCAGCTTTGTACCTTCTCACAGAGTACCATTCATGTACAAACTGTTTTGGATCAAGCCTTGCATGCAGGATGGCTCTCATGCCATGCCTGCAAGGAATTCCAAAAATCTTCCATACCCAACATAGGCACCCTTTTTTAGCAAAACTGACAAGGAGCACTGATTTTCCATCAGTGACCTCATACCCATCAGCATTAGGGTATGCCTTGCAACACCTGGACTCTTGAGTTATCACTTTAAGTCTAGCCTTGATGCTTGGACATATATCATCATCTATCCAGTTTGCAGAAGCTTGCTTACTAGTTCACATCCTAACCATTGTTGTTCTCCTAAATCCTAACATTAATCACCACAAATGTTAATGCTACATTCACCAATATAGACACATTACATGTACATAACAAAGAATATGTTACCTTCTAAGAAAGTCAAAATAGGTCTTGCTCTGTCCGTACCCAATGTGGCATTAAAGCTTTCCACAAAGTTGCTTTTGTTTACATCACATTTGATAGCCTCATTGAATTTGTGCTTGGTCCATGTTGATTGGTCCCCAACTTTAAACAAGCATATCAAAGCAACTGGATTAACCTTCTGCAGCTGTTCCATGGCTTTCTTGAATGTGAACTTAGAATAGGCCCCACAAGCCCACCAGAACAGGCTAAACATCAAAGGACCAGGGAATGGTTTCTTCCAATTCTTTACCAAGTGCTTGTAGCAATATCTTCTTCAAGCCTTTGGCCATAATTCAGTTAATGCAGCATCAATACCCTACACAAAAAAAGATAGATGTAAGACAAAGAAATGCTCAAGGAAGTTAAATAATAAAATTGAGGCTAAGTTTCATACCTTCTGTCTGTCTGAGATAATGCACCACTCATCACCTCTCCCACTGTCTTTGAGAAAGTTCTTCAAATGCCACACAAAGAGGTTCCAATTATCTGTGTCCTCAACTGATACAATTGCCCAAGCAAAGGGGAATAGCTCATTGTTTGCATCCAATGCTACTGTAGATAATAGGACACCACCATAATTCCCCTTTAAGTGAGCCCCATCCACACCTATGAAGCTCCTATAGCCAGCTAGCAACCCATCTATACAACCTTTGAATGATATGAAGATACTTAGGAACTGTGGAATCATGTCAATATGATCTTGAGGTGTCCAAGCATAGAATGCAGAAGAACCTAGGTTTGTTGATCTCACCATTTCACAATAGTCAGGAAGCTGGGCATATAAGATGTCATGACCCCCATTAGAATCCCTTAGAGCCTTTGACCTCATCCTGTATAGAGTACTTGCAGACATTTGTACTCCATATCTTTGCCAGAGTAACTGATTCAATGATTTGGCAGGGATATCATTGTTGGCTCTGATATCTTCCAACAACACTCTTGTAGCCCACTTGGTAGACACCATAGGATTCTTCACCTCTAAACCAGAACAAGTGTGCTCCATGTTCTGTATGGACTTGATTTCCCATGTGACACCATTAGGAAGCCTAGATGCATGCAGCCTCCACTCACAGTTACTTGCAGAACATTTAACTGTCCACCTCAAATTAGATGCCTTGAGCACAACTACTAAAAACCCACTTTGTATGCAGTAATCCCTCACAACATCTCTCAAATGTTGTTTATTTGTTAATAATTGCCATGGTTTGATGACAATTTTGCCAAACTCCTCATCATTGTACAACTCTCCATTTTTGTACATTTTTTCAAAGTAATATTCTATAACACCCCAATAATTCTCTCTTTAAAAACCTGTAAATACCTTTAACAATCTGCAAGAGAATTACTGACGTGCTACCGCCATGTGTTCAAACGTTAAGGCTAGTTCATAATTTAGCAGCGGAAAACTAACTCAGTTATAAATAATTTTCCAAAACCAATAATCAAAACAAAATTTAGTCTTACTAGCTGGAACCATTACGGCCCTGATTCAAACCCAATCAAAAGTAGTAAATAAACCAAATCAGAGTTAAAATAAATCCAACTTAAGAGTTGCAATAAACTGTGAAAATATTTAACACTCCACTCAAAATCCCACCACCTTGATGCAAGTTCTGATTATGTATAAACCTGTGATTAATCTACTCCCTAATATTACAAGTGTAAAAATTGGATCATTACAGGGTCATTGAAAAGGCAAAGACCATGACCAAGAAAAAGACATACAAAAGCACGCAATCAGCAACACTGAGTACATACAAGTTACGAAATATAACAAAGAATTCCTAGCATACTACTAATAAGCAATCAACACACAAAATTTAATTACTTACTCAGGCACATGTCTCAACTATTAACATTACTAAGACTTCCCCAATTAATAATAAATAATTCATTTCATTCACTGATTGGATTAAGCAATAGACCAGGTTGTCCCCCTTATGCTCCATTTCAGAACATTAATAAAAGAAAACCCTATGCCTCCTTTCGGAAACATTAATAAACATCCAATGGCAGACGGGCGCGACTCCGTGGCCATAGCTAGTATGAGATCTCATCTAACTCCTTATAATTTAAAGAAAACATTTGTAAACAAGACGGATAAGACAGCCTCTACAAAGTACACAGCTAATACCCCGTGAACCCCAACCATTGATTGTCAATAATCCAGATGTGCACAAATCCAGAGTTTTATTGCTCATCCTTCTTGCACTTTACGTGATTTTCCAGTTTAAACTTGGTGATGACTCAATGCAAAACAATACAACCAACATACATCAATCATTCAAACAATTCAAATTTCTAATTCAATTCTTGATTTATTAGTGACAAACAATATTTAGTATTGAATCCTTTAACTACCTCGGTGTATAAACACCTTAAGTGGATAAGGCACCTCAAATCCTCGACCTCGTCTTATAAGACTTTAAATCTCCCTTTACTCATTCCATTTCATTAATCATGAACGAGTAATAAAATAATTTATTCCACATATTCACGTACCTTTTCTTCTAAGCTCATCTTGCAAGTTAATGCATAAATAATGCTTACAAGATAAATTAATACGCAATTCTCATACATGAAACAAAAACAATCATCACATTATTCACCAATCAAACTTACTACCATACAATTCCAACCAATCCACAAGTTTCCTAACATGATTCTAAGGTTTTCCAAGTCCTTAAACATGCTTCTAAAGTCAAGGTTTTCGTATCCTTGTACGTACCTTGAGTAAACGAGTTGGTTGGCCACTTTAGGAACTAAAAATTGTCTTCTACAAAGTCCTCTCCTAAACCAAACAATAATAATCCAATCAATACCCAAGCGATATAATTTACAGCAATACTAACTTACTTTAAAACCCCTTAAACCTTTGAAATAATGCTTTTAAATTACTCACAATAGTCAAAGTTAATAATTCAATAGTTCAACTATAAGTCTATATGTTAAAATCATGAAAATCTAGTTTATAACATAAAATTCCAGCAACTTTAAAGTAAGGATTATAATTTGAAATTTTAGTTTAAGATTATAAAACAACCTCATAAACATCTCTACTTGAAATAATCATTATATAGTAGGTTAGTATGTTAAAAACCTAAAAATCCATCATAAAACCATGATTTAAAACCTTTAAAACCAAGATTAAAAATCTGAAAATTTAATTTAATAGTAGAATGACCACTGAGCTACTGAGGAACAACGGGAGACTCGATCTGATAGAGTTCCATTCCCGTTCTCAAACCATGACCAATATGAGCTCGAAGCTTCTTTCGTAACTCCCGGAACTTCTTCGTAGTGGCTCCCTTCCATGCCTCATTTAATAGGGAACCTCAAAGTGGCTCTATTTCATTATATTCCATCCATATCCCAATTCCATTCATTTAATATCCCTTTGGTGTCATCAACATAAGAGATGTGGGTTCTAGTCTATCTCTTTCCTATATATGGAAAGTTAAAAAATCATCATATAATAATCCAGAAATTGCAATACAAAAGAAAAAGGGAGGTTTGTGATGATTTTTCAATCTTTTCTACTAGGTAATCTAGTATCCTTATGCATGAAGATAATCAATTCGGTCGTTGTGGTCGGACTCTATTATGGATTTCTGACCACATTCTCCATAGGGCCCTCTTATCTCTTCCTTCTCCGAACTCAGGTTATGGAAGAAGGAGAAGAAGGAATCGAGAAGAAGGTATCAGCAACAACTGGTTTTATTATGGGACAGCTCATGATGTTCATATCGATCTATTATACGCCCCTGCATCTAGCATTGGGTAGACCTCATACAATAACTGTCCTAGCTCTACCCTATCTTTTGTTTCATTTCTTCTGGAACAATCACAAACACTTTTTTGATTATGGATCGACTAGCAGAAATTCAATGCGTAATCTCAGCATTCAATGTGTATTCCTGAATAATCTCATTTTTCAATTATTCAACTATTTCATTTTACCAAGTTCAATGTTAGCCCGATTAGTCAACATTTATATGTTTCGATGCAACAACAAGATGCTATTTGTAACAAGTAGTTTTGTTGGTTGGTTAATTGGTCACATTTTATTCATGAAATGGGTTGGATTGGTATTAGTCTGGATACAGCAAAATCATTCTATTAGATCTAATAAGTACCTTGTGTCAGAATTGAGAAATTCTATGGCTCGAATCTTTAGTATTCTCTTCTTTATTACCTGTGTCTACTATTTAGGCAGAATGCCGTCACCTATTTTTACTAAGAAACTGAACGAAACTCCAGAAACGAAAGAAAGTGAGGAAGAAACAGATGTAGAAATAGAAAAAACTTCCGAAACGAAGGAGACTAAACAGGAAGAAGAGGGATTCACCGAAGAAGATCCTTCTCCTTCCCTTTTTTCGGAAGAAAAGAAGGATCCGGACAAAATAAAAATGGATGAAATGGGAAAGATCCGAGTGAATGGAAAGGACAAAACAAAGGATGAATTTCACTTGCACTTAAAAGAAGCATACTATAAAAATAACCCAACTTCTTATTCTGGGAATCAAGATATTTCGAAGTTCGAAATACTTAAAGAAGAAAATAAAAACCTATTCTGGTTTCAAAAACCCCTTCTTTTTCTTCTTTTCGACTATAAACGTTGGAATCGTCCAACGCGATATATAAAAAGCAATCGGTTTGAAAATGCGGTAAGAAATGAAATGTCACAATATTTTTTTTATACATGTCAAAATGATGGAAAACAAAGAATTTCTTTTACATATCCACCTAGTTTATCCATTTTCTGGGAAATGATAAAAAGAAAGATTTCTTTGGCTACAACAGAAAAATTCTTATATGATGATGAACTATACAATTATTGGATTTATACGAACGAACAAAAAAAAAACAGCTTAAGCAATGAATTTGCTAATAGAATTACAGTTCTAGACAAAGGACTTTTTTATATAGATGTACTCGATAAAAAAACTAGATTATGCAATGATAAAACTAAAAATAAAATTGAATATTTGCAAAAAAAAGAAATAAAATTGATACATAAAAAAAATACCAAAAAAGATAAGAGGAGATTCGCCCGCCCCCTACATATTTGATACCCTCACCTACAAAAAAGCTTGTAACACCAAAACCATTCGGAATTCCATCAATTATTCGTCTATCAAAAAATGAAACTAGTTCAGCCAAACCTCTTACACCCTTAATTAAAAATTTTGCGTAAAAAGCATCGATATAACCACGGTTAGCAGACCAATTATATATAATATTTATCAGCTTGTCCCCCAAAATTCTTTTTTGCCCTCTTTTATCAAATAAATTAATTAAGTCAAAATTTTTTAACGATGAATAAGCGGGTTTATAAAACAAAAAAGCTATAAATATTCCAAAAAAAGCTATACTAACAGACAAAGTTGCATTTATCAAAAATTCATACGAGTCAACAGAATTTTCGGAATTTGAATCTAAAAGATTCATAGATGAGGTTAACCATTTCGTTAATATATCCAAAGCTATTCCTTCTTGATTGAATGGAATTCCTATGATTCCAATGAAGAAAGTAAACAGAATCAATAAAATCAGAGGAAATAACATAGTATTATCGGATTCATGAGGATAGGCAGAAATATTCTTATTGTCAAAATCAATAATAGTAATAAAAGATCGAAGCATTTTTCTTAAATTTCCATTAATTTGATTTTGATATGGTTTTTTCGAAAAAAAAGAAACCCTTTCCTTCTTATTCATTGTTAATAAGGTTAATAAAAGAAATTTTTGATTAATGCTTTTCAATCCTTCTTGACCCCATAAAGATATTGAATAAAAAGAACTGCTTTTTTTTCCACTATAATTTTTTAAAAAAGCGTTTAAATGCCCTTCAAACGTAAGTAAATAGATTCTAAACATATAAAAAGCGGTTAATCCGGCTGTGAAATAAGCTATTATTGCAAAAATTGGTGAATATATCCAACTATCATTAAGAATTTCGTCTTTGGACCAAAAACAAGCAAGAGGCGGAATACCACAAAGCGAAAGTGTACCTATTAAAAAAGAGGTTTTTGTAATTGGTACATGTTTTGTTAAACCCCCCATAAGAACCATATTCTGACTTTTATTCGGAGAATATCCAACAACAGTTTCCATTGAATGAATAAGAGATCCAGATCCTAAAAACAATAATGCTTTTGAATAAGCATGAGTAATCAAATGAAATAAAGCAGCTCGATAAGAACCCATACCTAGAGCTAACATCATATAACCCAACTGAGACATTGTAGAATAAGCTAA